TATATTTATGTGACTGCAGGACACCAGCAGTCAGGTTTGTAATGGTAACATATGTTTCCAACACATTTAAAGTCCCACTGAAACGTCCATCTGTCCAGTGTGCTCTGTAGAGGGAGCTGTTTCCCACAGGTCAGAGACACAGTGGACGTGGTGACGTTCATGACTCTGGGGTCTCTGATTTGTTCAGGCTCTGTTAGTGAGTGAGACGGCGGTGGGAGAAGAATTCTGTATTTAGACTCTCATTACTGACATCATGCCGGATCTGTAGCTAAGCTGAAGGTGTTATGTCGTCTAAAGCCGTTGCTGTAGATGTTGAGTTCATGTGCAGAATAAAAGTAGGAATTCAGATGCAAGCAAGTAAACAGACTTACTCGTTGTGATCTCCTTACAGCAGTTTAAACAACTGATGAAGATTTGATAGACGGCTCCAGAACTCAGACCAGTCAGTGAACCGTTTCCATGGATACTATCCCCACTGGATAAAGAGCAGTTTGGTCTCGAATCAAGGCTGACTGTTGTTGTTGTTATTGTAAATGTTTCCGTTCCATTGACGTCACATTGAGCTGAGACACAGAATAACAAGAACAAAAATGAGCTCAAATAGATTTTTTTTTTAAATCGAAATTTCTGTAAAAAAAGAAGAGATGTATTATTTTACATGTGTTGACTATAGTCTTGGCTGTACTTCTGTATATCACCAGACTACTGTATTAGTTTTATCTGTCTTGTATACATGTAGTCTTCTCTCACAACAGTGTGTTTTGACTATAGTACATATTCCATTACTGTTAATATTTTTGGATGCCTGACAACATCAACACCTATGAACATTTGCCTTTAAGCTAACTTAGCCACACTTGCATTTGTTTGAACCTTGATGCAATTACAGTCTCTGACAATTAAAACAATCTATATTAAACACAGGATTATGTGAGAACAATAAAGTCTGTACTCACCAACACATGCTGTACTGGAGTTCTGTGGAGATGAAGACAGAGAAAGGCAGTAAATCATTTTTGCACCAGCAGAGATCAGCAGTGAGTTGTGAACAGCATTAAAGCCCACTCAGCAATTCAGTGTCACTGAACGTCAATGTCTTTGACTCTGTTGTGAGAAAGAGGGATCATAAAGCCAGATTTGAAAAAGACTTTGGTCACAAGATATATTCTATTATTTTCTATGAATTTTATTTCACGATATGAAGTCATACAGCCTTTCACCATCCACAAGAAAACTAAACAAACTCAGTGTAAAATCCTTGATTATATTTAGTTTAACAGCGATGTATTGAACAGTTTAATATATTTTTTCATTTCTTATAGGCACAGATATCCAGACCTTTTTCTTTTTTGTTCACTATCAGAGTTAAGTATGAGGAATCTTAGCCTACAGGATTTTGTAATCCTTCTAATAGGGGGGGAAAAAACACTAGGTTACTAAAACTTCACAGACAAATCTTTTCTGAGAAAGTTGTTTGTTTAGTCACTAAAACAAATCTTTGTCAATTGTGCAAATGAAAATACAAAAGCGAACTCCCAATAACTCACCTGAAGAAAAGATCATGTTTGTGTGACAGTTACAGAGTAGGAAGTAGAAACTGGTAATACCCTAATGTGGCTAATCATTGTGTGACCTCAGGTGAGTTAAAATGGTATGCTGGGAATATTTCTACATCCTGGATATCTTACATTTCACAAATGCAGATCAAAGCAAAACAACAACATCACACACACGTGCGTTTAACACACAACCTCACGTCCATATGACTCAAACTAAATCTGCGTACGTCTGAGATTCACTTGTGTCCTGGTATCAGGACTAAACACACAGCTCTGATTCCACATTACTTATTAGCCAAGAGCCTCTCGCTGACATGTCGTCATTCACTCTGTTTACCACACAAGCTAAACATTAAAGACATTACATCAGTGCTTAAACCTGCACAATTCTCCCCCACCCACAAAGATCACAAACATGGTCAGCCATTAACTAAAAAACAAAAAAAAATCGTGAGACCAGGGTTCTGAAAAAAGAGAAAGTCCATTCTGTGTTTGACGCTGCCCCACACACCCACTTATCCCTGGAGACGGGCGTCCTCCTCTTAATTTTATCTTTTCTATTCAGAGCAGTGACCCTGCCTTTCCTCCCAATCCTCTGAGACTCCTTTCTTCTTGCCACACTCTTCTGTCAGTACAGTTTTCACTGTGTGTTAAACAAAACATATTCTGCTCACGTTCTGGTTCAGAATTCAAATTTCTGTTATTACTTGAAAACACTTCACTTTCCTCAGACTGTCTATTGCTGCAGCTCCTCTTTTCAGCCTCTGTCTGAAAATCTTGGTTTTAGCCTCTGTCTCTCTGAGGCCCCCCTCCACTCTGTTCTGATTGGCTGGCGAGCCCACTCTGTTGTGATTGGTCAACTGCTTACAATGATTACCATTTAAAGAGATGAACGACATGTCTTCATTTCCTCCCACTATCCAGAAATGAAGCCAAAATATCCCAGACACAAACGCTGCCATCTTGCGCATTTCAAGCCAGAGTAGCGATCGGGGACGGAGCCACAGCATCGAGGTCCCATCTGTACATGTGCTCGACCGATTGTGGGTCAGTCTCAGCTTTCATCCTGTTTTCATATTATCGAGTACCCAATAAAAAACAAACTTACCAGGAAATAATAACGCACGATCAAACATCAGTGTGATAACAACTATACCTTGAATGACTGAAACCATCTTTGAGTATAAGATGTGTATTTTCATTTATTAGTCCATGTCCCATCCACTAACATGGAGGAGGCAGGGTTATTGACCTACACAGCAGACAGCCACCAGGGGGTGATCGAGAGGCTTTAGCTACACCTTTGAGGGATAACTTAAAGTCTCCTTTAAGACGCATTATTAAGAGTCAGTTGTAATTTATTCACACACTTTTTTCAAGATAGTAAATGTTTTTTAAGCGATGACAGAGCAGCGTTAATGATCCCAACTATCAGGGGCTGGGTCCCAATCATTCATAAATGATTAAGCACATTAGTTAAAGGTCCAGTGTGTAAGATTTAGGTGAAATTGATCTACTGGCAGAAACGTAATGTAGAATAATCCTCATGATGTTTTCACTTCACATTTGTTTCATCTAAATTGTATGAATTGTAGTTTTCTTTACCCCAGAAAAGGTCCTTTATATTTAAATACTTATATTTACATGGTCATGTTTTTTACATTAGTCCAGACTGGACAAACTAAACATCCTTTGAGTTTTTATGACAACTGAAGCTACCACAGGTTCTTTTTCATGTTTGGAAGGAGTGGGTGAGGTGAGGGGTGTTCAGCTGCAACATGACACTTCATCACTCAATATCGCTATATTCCACAAACTGTACCTTTAAGATCCTAGTTCAACAAATAGATGCGAATCAAAAGCTTTACCAAGAATAAGTTCTGCAAAATATACTGTATTTATAGCTGTAACTTTTCTCACTTACAATGTATAAGTTTAGGGAAGTGGAATGATTTGGTTCCTGTTTAAATTCAATGCTATGTCAATTTGCATAATTTAAAAGACTCTTCTCTTCTTTGAAATTCAGGTTTACATTTACTTTGGTCTATTTTTGTATTTTTCACAGTTCATCAGTGTGAATGGTTTTCATGAGGGTGTCCTGAATTATTGATTCAGTGGGTGAGTTTAATTGGATTTATGAGACATTATGTTGCTGGATCAAGATCAGTGCTTCTTGACACTTTTATTTTTGAACCTGGGCGGCAACATTGAAGAGAATAAGTCCTTAAAGTGCAAGGAAAAGAAAGAATCTAAAAAAAACACATAATGCTGATGAAGATCCTGTCAGATACGAAATGGAACGTGTGGTGAGGCTGTTTCTCAGCTGGTGTTTCAAAGCACAACAATGACCTTTGAACCTTAAAAGAACATGTTCTCAATTTAAAAACTTATATAAAACTAAACGGCCTGTGTCCGGGCAGAATCATAATCAATTCAATATTTTCCATGCTAAAGGTCAAATACCAGTATGTGAAAGCTGCATCTTGACTATGACAAAACTCATGTTTTCATACAAATTTACAAAAATGTTGAACTGTCCTCTGGGAATTCGACTTCTCTGAGCCATGACTCCCAAATGTTTTATTTCCGTTGGCCCTCGTCCTAAGAATCACTTATTTCCTCCTGACTAAATAAACAAAACAACATCTCGAGCCATTATGCTTTGGCACGGCCTCAGAGAGCAGCAATATGTCCCAAAGTCCCATTTGGGAAATACTGCCCCAGAAATACATCCATCTTAACGTCCTCCCTCCCTGCTTTTAGCCTTAAACTCTAAACTCAGGCTCATTACGCTGCTTATTCTTTCTTATCTGTCACCTGGAACTGAGTGTTTGTTACCATTACATGGTAATCTGGTGCCCGCCTGCTGCACCTACAGTATATTGACCCCAGCTCTATATGTGTCTTTGCCCAATTGTTAACTTAAATGGTGTCTTGATCGCCCTCTGGTGGCTAGCTGCATTACCGGTTATGTACTCTGCCTCCTCTGCTCCTCGAACACGGCTCCATCACCAAATCTTTACTGCGCAGACTCTGGCTTAAATTGTTCCACCGGCTGCTCCTCTGGCTGTTTGCATGTTTGCATTTGTCGAGCGTTAGCTACTTCTTACAGCCAGCAGACTTTCGGGAGGAGCAGCACTAGCTATGTATTGTAAAATAATAATTGGAGCTGTGATTCAGCTAATGACCTTCATGCCCTGTGTACTGTGTCTGTGCCCTTTGACTGAGCCTGTCTGCAGGAGGAGGAGGAAATGACTGCTACATAAACATTACATCAACTGTAAAGGCCGGCTGCCTGCCACTCACTGATTTCCCCTCATTCCCTCATCACCTGATAGCGCACCCACTTCCTTCCTCCATAATAACACTCAAACCCAAAGACAATCAAAAAATAAAACTAATCACCTTAAAAGCTGTTTTCTCACAGATGAGACTACTTAACTTTACAGCGTCTGAAAATCTGATAAACTCGGAACAAAACAGGAGGAAGAAAGTTGCACAATACATTATGCTCCTTGAATTACGCAGAGTCGCACAAGGGTCGAGGGGCTTCTGCTGGTGACTGCATTGACTTTGCTGAGTGGAGAAAGAGGATTCCTCTGCGGCTGTAAAATCTGCAAAAACCACGTTATCTGACTCAAATCTGTGTGTGTGTGTGTGTGTGTGTGTGTGTGCGTGTGAGAGAGTGAGTGTACGTCGGAGAATTTGAGATTGCATACTGTTGGCAGTCATCACCTTTGCTTTATTGATTTTTCCTGCACTTGTTTTGTTGTAGCTTATTCCAGTCATCAAGTTTGTCATTGCTGATGACTCTTCACTTTATTCTTCATGTACTGCAAATATCAGTGAGCTCGAATATGACACTGATATCAGTGACAGTTAAATGTTATCAGATTTGGTATCTTCATTTTTTATCATGACTTTAATAATTCTAAAACTCTTAAAGATACATATAAAGTGTTGATCCCCAACTGAATCCACATTATCTCAGTCACAGATTTCTGGTGGATAAGGGTTTGTAGCCTATTTTGTTACCGTACAGTGGCACATGTTATTTTTCCTATTAGCTTATTTAGTTGCTTAATATAACCGCTCCTCAAGACTGTGTGTGTGTGTGTGTGTGTGGGTGTGAGAGACACAATCGTGTGATCAATCAAATTTAATTTCTCTTTGTGTAAAATAGATCAAACGTTTTTCACAAAGGAAAGTGGAAGAAAGTGGATGTTCTGTGTGATGAGGTTTTTCCGGGCTGTAACTCTCACTTTCTTCTCTTAGCCTCTGATAAATCAGCAGCTTGTCCTCTATTTAAAGTTCATTAACTCAGTCGCTTCTCGTGGTTGACCTCCTCATTGTTTCTGCTCTATTCAGGAAGTGAATAAAACGCAACAAGCCTGTCAGAGCCACACGACAGGCCCAGGC